TGCTATAGCTCACGTTAAAGACTCGGAGGATGGATGGCTGTGTGAGATACTACCCTTAATTAATTTTTGGCATGATGTCCTTGAGCAGCATGGTGAAGAACAGGGTGCTAGTGAAGGTAATGCCATGAAAGGTATGGTGTCACAGTCCCTCGCTGAGGTCCCCAGCATTACTGCAGTGATTTGGCCCATCATTAGGTGCACAGCTCCTGGTGGGAGGAACCAAAGCACCACTTCCAAGAGCAGAGGTAGTACAGCTCAATGAGTAGAGCAGGGGGCAAAAAAAAATCACAAAGAAGAGGATGGTTTGCAGCCAAGGGAAGTTGGTTGTTTGCTTGGTGGCTTTGTGTCACTGATAGTGTAGTGCAAAGCTGAAGATCCAAGATCCAAGCTGTGTTTATCTTTAAAACAGCCACCATGGTTTCTGAAGATCCTGAAGATCCAAAAGAATCACAGCTTTTTAAACACAGATTTAGATTTATTTATTTATTTATTTATTTATTTTTGGTATTTTTATATACAGATTTAGATGAGACCTTGGGATATTCTGAGTACTGCGTAGACTGAGAAAACTTCTGGATCAAGACCAAAATCTTCCCCCAAAGTCCCCATATTTCAAGAATCTTCAGTTCTCTCCCTCTTTGGCAATCATTTTCCTGCTTCAATCAATAAGTAATGGAAAAATAAGAAAAGGCAAAAAGAGAGGAGAGATTCTCATCATTACAGAGTTGTTTAAAAAATACATCTTCTCAGTGGTTCCTCTCCAACTCAAAGTAGATGTTGAATTCTAAAGGTCAAAAGCATGGTTGTTTTTTGTTATTATTCGATTCTAATTTGCTTCTTCTCTTTCTGTTACACCCTCTGCATCGACTCCTCAACAACTCAGCCTTGCCTCTTGGCAGAGTGGCAGGATTTGTATTTCTGGCTGGATGCTCTCCATACCTCCAATTTCATGTGAGTCACAGCTCTTTTACACTCCTCCTATGCAATGACTGACACGAAGAGTTGGAAATTACAGATGTACGCGCACACACACGGATATATATACACACATATACTGAATAGATTTAATTTTATTCTGTTCCAGCTTATGACACCTGCAGACATGTCAGCTGCCTTAAATAACTCCTCACCATTTTTTCCTGTTCTGTGTCTCCCACAGGTTAGCTCCGCAGATGCGTCAGGAATGGTTTTTGATGACTGCATTTCTACAAACGTGCAGGTGAGCTCAGGAGCTATTTATTTCTCCCATTCAAATATTTATGCTGATTTGGCACTAATGACTCAGCCTCTTTTCTGCTCTGTGAGGAAGTTGCTGCCATCCCTCTGTAAGACACGTTGGGCTTTGGGTGGTTCTGGTTTCTAGAGGTACCACGTTGCAGTCCGTCACTTCCACCGTTGTGGCCCTGAACACAAAATAGCCTGCTGTGAATCCCCTGAGCAGAAATTTTGAAAGGAAAACTCTTGAGTACCAGTTAGAAGGATGAGTTTTAGGTTTATCAGCATCAGTTGGCTTGTGACTGAGGTCAGGGCTGACATTCAGTGTGGGTGAAGCCCAGACATAATTTTTCTGTAATATTTTCCAAAATACTTCCATATTTTTCTCCAATTTACAAAGGACTTCCAGGGAAGGATAACAAGAAGTGCATGGCCCACACCAGAGGGCAGGTGAGCTCTGGCACAAGCCAGGCCACAGCACCAAAGGGAGAAGAGAGCAGGGGGGTTATCGGCTTCCAGTGATTGGCACTGCCAACATATAGGGTATGTTGTGGTTCACCACGTTTCCCTGTATTTAGGTGCTAAAATTACACAAATTGTACTCTTTTTTTTTTTTTTTTTTTTTTTTCTTTTTTCCTGACAAATATCATCTGCAAAACAATATCTTCTGCTGTAACCTAGAATTTTGACATCTTTGGGATTGCATCGGGATGCTGCAATCTATCTCAGTTTTTTCAGTCGTTTGGAGGGAAGGCCAGAAGCAGGGCCAGAAGCCGTCCATATATCTAAAGCACGTGGTCAGTGAAGGAGGACAGGAGATGGGACAGGTTAGTCTAAGGAAAGTTGGATAGAGAAGACAGTAACACGCATCAGACAAATTAATACAAGGTAAAGAGAAAGACTTCTCCATGTCTGCAGTGGACAGGGCTACAGGTAAGAAATCAAAAGTGCAACCAGGGAGATTCACCTCAGACACCATAGAAATATTAAAATGAGTGAAGCCTTAGAGGGAAGGTGGTGGCTGTACCACACCAGCGTTGAGGATGAAGCAAACACAAACTGCTTAGACGAGCATTTGGACAGAACATTATAGGTATGGCAGCTTTTGAGGCATGGGGTGCATCTGTCAGCTTCTTTAGGCCCTTCCACCCTCCTTTAGGTGAGTCGGTGCTTTAAACTTCTTCAGCTCTTCAGGCATGTCCTCTTCTTTCTTGCCCCCCAGCAAACAACTCTACCAAGAGACATGTATTCGTGTATTGTTTTACTCTGAATTTCACAGCTCTACAGCATCCATCTGCATCTTTTAAAGGTGGCAAACTTCAACCACAACAATGGTTGTTTTATTTACTCCTCTCGTTATTTTTGTCAGTCCAGAAAGTCAGCAGAGACCAGCTTCATGCCTGAAATTCATCCTCAGTCCAGAGCTGAGCAGGTGTCCCCTAATTTCCCACTGAGAAATACCAACCCTGGTAAGCCCTTGGTATGTGGCTTGCTTCTCTCTCCAGCAATGTCACCCCAGCAAGTGCCACTGATGCCAGATGGGTGCAGTGTCTGGGGGGGAGCTACCAACAGTCTAAAAGTGTATGAGTACACCCTTTTTTCCTGCCTAAACTTTGGTTTCTTCTCTGCTGGAATGTCTCAAGTTTCGCAACCATTGTATGATACTGACAGCATTCTCACCAGAGAAACGCTGCTCTGCTCTTCTGTGCAGGGGGAGGTGGATAGGAGCTCTCATAAGAGCTGTTCATGTGCTTCGAGTTCTTTGTGAGAGAAAACATACCTAATTTTAGTTTAAATGGATGTTAATTTGACGTGTGGATTTGAATAACTGAGATAAATTCTTGGCTTTCTGACATTAAAATATATTAAGTGACAAGGGCTTTTTGCATACTGTTATTTTCTGAAAGGTTCTTTCTCTCTATAGTGCCTAAATGATAAAGCTCGAATGCGTAAGTCCCCTGAATTTGCAGGAAGTTGCACTGAATGGTCTAATAGGTCATTTTCATCTCCGGCTTACATAATAGAATAATAATAACAAAGGTTGCAAAGCATTCCTACCACGGCTGAATCAGCTGGCTTTTTTTATGGGCTGGTTATTCACTGAGCAATAAATATTCATGTTTTTTTTCAGGATAGACATAGTGCATAATTTGTCCTGAGCGCAATTAATCAGGACACCCAGCCTTATCCCGCAGCAGATCACAAAGGACTGAACTTGAGTGACAGCCCAGGCATGCCTGGCAGTTGCAGAAGTCACTCGATTCTTCAGCAGCAGCTATAAAGGCTTCTACACCGTGTCCTTGAGCCTTTTCAGTGTAAAATCCCGTGTATATGGGATTATATCCCATAAGGGGGGTGAGCTGCTAATGCTAGCATACCAGAGAAAGATCACAGCCTGGTTTGACTGAGAGGAGGAGAAATTGTCACTGTTGCTCTTGTTCCCCACTCTCCTGGATGTGCAGAGGGTCACAGGGAGAGTTGCCTCTAGATCAGCCCCTCCAGCTCTGCCTTCAGAGGAGCAAAACATCTGAATTTAGTTCATCCTTGAAAAAACAAAACAAAACAAAACAAAAAACATAAACAACATATCAGAAAGGCAGGGCAAGAACAACAGCAAGCTCTGCGCCACAGCTGCTTTTACCAGCAGAAGGCACCAGGTCTGTGCTCACACCACATAAAATATTGCTCAACATCCACCGTGTGTTGCACTGCAGCTATCAAGGATTTTCTTCAAGAGGCTCCTGCACCCTGCAGAAGAAGGGGGTGCTCTGGCAGTAGTTGCTCAGCAGGTGAATAATAGCCCAAATCCCTGTGTGTATCTTCTCCTGATCTTACACACACGTACATACTCACACAGCTAAATTTATTTCCCCCTTGCTGAGGGACTTGCTGCCAACTTTCCCTCCAGCTTGCACGGTTCCCACATGCTGCTGACTCCTGTTATCTCTCCCACTTCTATCTCATCCCCTGCCCCTGTCAGCTAAGCAGAGGTTGTGTGGGGTTAAACCAAGCAGGCAATGTTCCTGTCATGCTCCTGAGAAGTTATGTGGGGAATCAGAATCCAAACCTGGTGGAACAGCAAGAGTTTCGTCATTAAGACTCATAGGAGTCTTCACGGCGACTCTTAAATGTGGAGGATTGGAAGGTCGTCATTTATCAGTTGATATTCCCCTGCACTCAGCTCTGGTGAGGCCACACCTCGAGTGCTATGTTCAGTTCTGGGCCCCTCTCTACAAGAAAGACATCGAGGCCCTGCAGCGTGTCCAGAGCAGGGCGACGAAGCTGGTGAAGGGCCCGGAGCACAAGGCCTGTGAGGAGCGGCTGAGGGAGCTGGGGGTGTTTGGTCTGGGGAAGAGGAGGCTCAGGGGAGACCCCATTACTCTCTATAACTGCCTGAAAGGAAGGGGTGGGGAGCTGGGGGTCGGCCTCTTCTCACAGGTAACCAGTGACAGGACCAGAGGGAATGGCCTCAAGTTGTGCCAGGGGAGGTTCAGGTTGGCAATGAGGAGACATTTCTGCTCAGAAAGAGCAGTCAGGCACTGGGACGGGTTGCCCAGGGAGGTGGTGGAGTCACCGTCCCTGGGGGTGTTCAAGGAGAGGTTGGACGTGGTGCCTGGGGACATGGGTTAGTGGGTGACGTTGGTGGTGGTGTGATGGTTGGACGAGATGATATCGGAGGTCTTTTCCAGCCTTAGTGATTCTGTTGTTCTGTGATTCTACATAAACTGTTGACTCAGTCAAAAAGTTAGCTGAGCAGTTGTGAGCTCCAGAACACGATCTCAGCCATGAAACCCTCACCTCATGGCTTTACCCACCCGTTGCTCAGACTGCAAGACCTCGAAAGAACAAATGATGTCCTGAAAACATGTGCAATGGCTTTAAAGCAAATAGCAGCAACAAACAAGCAAACAAACTACTCATATTTACACATATATGAAGAGATGTTATTTCAGAGAAGTGGTTGAAGTGCAGCACTGTTAAATAAATGCCCATATGTGTGGCTTTCATGCTTCCAAGCCTAGCAGAACAATTTACGCTCTTCCTCTGCAGGCAGCAACACCCCAGGAACCAACCCCAGCGACAGCCAGGAGCAGCCCGTCCTCTCTGTCGGGACCAAAGGCCTCCTGCCAGATCAATATCTTATCCTCCTCAAGGGTTTTTTCATCTTCACGGAGTGCTTCCTCATCTTTCCAGACTGCTCTCTCCTCTTCCAGGAGAGCTTTTTCGTCTGCCCACAGGGCTTTTTCTTCTTCCCATAGGACTCTGTCCTCATCCAGAAGGACTTTGTCTTCCTCCCAGAGGAGCTGATCTTCTTTCCAGAAATCTGCATCCTTCTTCCAGAATGCATTCGAGTGCTTCCAGAAGTCACAATACTCCCTCCAGAAGGTTTCTGATTCCTCCTGAAAAGCATTTTCTTCCTCCAAAAAGGCAGCTTCCTCCTCCCAGATGGGCTTTTCCTCCTCCCAGAAGGCTTGGATGGCCATCTTGAAAGCTCCGATTTTTTCCCGAAACGCCTTGATCTTCTCCCGAAAGTTCTTCATTGTCTTCTGAAAGCCCTGAACCTCCTCTCGGAAGGCTTTCTCAGCCTGCAGCTTCTTGAGGAGCTTCTCTTGGCGTAAGGAGAAATAGGGTGAGCAGGACATTACCTGGGAATGGCAGCTCTGGTTCATGGTGCTCCTTGCTGATGGAGGGGGCAGAGACCAAGCCTGGCCCCCAACTCTCACTCTGTGGCCCAAAGGAGAGAAGATTGATGGGTGCCAGTGATGTTATCATCCAGCTACGTCACAGCTGGCTTAAAATGGCATTATACCAGAAATAAAAACATTTATCATGAGTAAAAAAGAAATCCCTGCCCAGGTCTCAGCCAGCACTCGCTGCAGTGGTACCTAAAAGGGAATTGGTGCCACGTGGGACAAAGGCCAGGATTTCTCTGTGTCATTTCCTGGCGTGACCCCAGGTGCTGCTGCTTTTGAGCTGTCTGTGCTGACCCCAACCGGTGACACCACACTGCTCCCCCCTGACCCCATTTCATCTGGTCCCAAAGTGAAGGACGGCGGCACCAGCCTTCCCCTCTGGTGCTCAAGTCACTGCTGCCTCTCTGCCTCTTGGCTGTCTTGTGCCCCTTCACAGAGTCCCACGTAAAGACCCTGAAAATCACAGCTTCCAGAGAAATTTGAACAATGAAAACAAAAATATAATTTTCCATTCATTAACCTGCCTAATAATTCTGCAGCTGGGATTAAAGCTGGTTACTTATTTATACTGTCTCATTATATTTATTAAGACTTACTGCACTGTGCCTCCAGCCCAGAGCAGGGAGCAGGCTGTGTCATAAATAAAATAAATAAATAAAAAAACAATCAAACAAACAAAAAACTTGCTTATTAATATATTACGAGCCTGTCTATCCCTCACTGAATAATCAGGAAAGGCTCTAGAGGCAGCAAATGCAGCGCAGATGATGGCGAGATGTGCACACTCTCTGTGATGATCGAGAAGGCAGGGAGTGTGCTGGGGGGGACCTTCTGGGGCTCTTTGGGTGAATACAGGAAAATTCTGGTTCTGCTGTTTTCTCCTCATGCTGCTTCCTGGCTCCTGAAACTCCTCTTGGAGCAGGAGCTTTTTGTGGGTGCCGGGAGGACAGGAAAGGAGAAAGCCATCTTCTGCTTCACTCTCTGGGAGTTCTGGGCCCACCAGTGGCTCCCACTTGGAGAAGTGGAGAAGGAGGAGTCATATCCTCTTCCCTCTTGCCCTTTCAGGGTTCAGCTAAATGACTCCTTAGGATAACAACCTGCAATGGGGAAGCAGCCCAGGGGCTTAAACGCGGGCATCCAGTGCCATTTGAGGCACTCGGCCATATCTGACCTATGTCTGCAGGTGGTCTGGGAAATGGTAGCATGTTGGAGACCTACATCCTTCAGGAGCTGCAGGTGGAAGCTGAGGGAGATACCCCAACGCATACAAGGGCACAGGGCACCCACATGTATGTGTTAGTCCCTCCTTTAAATCTGTCTTTGATTTCCATGCCTAAAGCTGCCTTCAGATCCTGCCCCAAGAGGCTGCCAAATCAAATTAGAAAAATATTTTATGAGGCTTCTGTCTCCAGAAGGTTCATGACATAATACAAGTAAAACTTTGAGGACTTTTTCTCACGTGGTACAGTAAAAATATTCCCATTTGTTATTTTACTGTGCTCTGGAGGCAGGCTTATAAAGATGTGGGGTAATTACATCAGAGTACATTTTTCAATTAGGGCATCATTAGGATCTCACAGAAAATGACTAAATTACATCATTTTGTTCCACAAGTCTGCAAACGCTCTTTCAATTGTCATCAAAATAATAATAATTGGGTTTCTGCAGACATCTCTAAGAGTGCAGAACTAACGGCTAACAAATCTGATCCAAGCCCATATCCATTCTTTTACTGGAGTGAAGTCTTATGGATAGATGCAAAATGAAATGGATAAAACGACCCCTTTTCTTCCTAAAACTCCTGTTCTCACTCTTACCATCTCCTACCATTAAAAATGTAAGATCCCAAATATATCAAGTGATTGTGCTCCTGCTTTTGGAAGACTTAGCATTTGTAAAACTCTCTAACAGAGACGTGCAATACTTACAGAAGTGCAGTCCTTTATGGCCCCTGGGTATCTGACGCCCACTGGTGACAGTGACCCGTCGGGCACCTACAGTGATGTAATTTCACCAAGCTTCAAATCACCCATTCAAAGCCAAGTGATGCAGGGTGGAGCTGAAAGGAGTCCCCGGGCTCCAGGCACAGCCTGAGCCAAGGCTGGTGCTTTGCTTCCTTCTCATCCTGGTTCTTCCTGACGAGCACCCACCTGTGGGTTGTATTGCTCTCGTCACCTCCCCTCCTGCTTTAGGGATACCTGCTGGAAAACGTGAACAGCACTTACATGAAATATAAGGATGTGGAAGAGGCACTTTATGACAGAAGGTATTGTCCCCATTTTTCTGCTGAAATTGTATTAAACCTTAGAGGAGGGTGTTTAGTTTCTGTTTGTTTGCAGACTGCTTCTGTGAGCCGCAGGAATCCCTCTGTTCATGAGACCTTGAGCCTAATTAATCTCAGTAATTGAGCCTGGTTGGTGATAAAAACAACTATTGAGCTGGCAACAGGTAGAAAAGACAGGTAGAAAGAATGAGATGCTTCAAAAGGAGTGCATGAGAAACCAGGATTAAAAACCATCACGATTAGTAGGAGACAACTCTGGGAAGCTGTTTCAGATCTTCAACAATTTTTTTTCAGACCTTCAAAGGTCATAATGCTTCAGTTAGAAGAAGTTTCTACCAAAATACTTCTTTCTAGTGGAATGGCTCTGATATTCCTCATCAGAAACTCTGAGTTTTTTGTTTTGTTTGTTTTTGTTTTCTTTGGTTTGGTTTATCTGTTTGTTTTACATGGAATAGTTCAAATACAATTCTGTTTACTGAGAAAGTCTTGCTGTCCTGGCAAGACTCTTGTTGCCCCTAACCCCTTTTCTTCTTCCCAGATGAGATATTTCCCTCTTTGCCAGTGGGTTGCCTTTGATTATGTAAAGTTTTTTTTCCTCATTTTAGGCTTGCTTCATCCCTGCCTCCAGGGACTGTTTCTTCCCAGAATGTTTTCGTGTACTGCATGTTCCTGGTATAGCTCCCTGTTCAACACCATAGCTGGAAAACAGCAATGATGGAAGAAATACTAATTAGTCAACTGCTGCCTGAGCTTTAAAGGAAAATTGTTTTTTTTTTTTTTTTTTTAGGCAAGAAGTTTTGGTGACACAAGCGACATAAGCAGCACAATAAGCTCTGAGTGCAGAGGTGGCCTGGTGAAACTTTTGGTGAAAATAAATTTGTCATTCCAGCTCTCACCATCAGTCCACAGTGTTGCTGCAGCAAGACATGTTGTTTCTTCCTCTTCTGATTTTGTTGTCAGTAGTCCCTTTCCTCCTCACCAAGTAGGTTGTGGTGCTGAAGAGGACAAAGAGGGTCTTCATCGTTCAGCTGCTCATCCCTTGCCATTTCAACACAAATTTCCTGGTAAAAAAATGAAAACACACATTTTTCCTCTCAAGGTAGAAGGAATGGGGGAGAAAGGGACATAGGAAAGTATGAGGCGTTTTCAGGACTTGGAAATTTATCTGGATTCTGTGTATGGATGAGGATTTTGGGGATGTTTTTGCTGTGAACCACCCGTTCCTCACCTCATGCAGCGATGACAGGCGGCCGCTGCCATGGCAACGACACCTGGAAGACAAAGAGGTGCCGGGAGACAAAAAGGCACCCGGATCCTTTGCAGCACCAAGCAGTCCTGGCAGCCCTCTGCCCAACTTGGTTGTAACACAGAAGCACCCTGAGGTCCTGGTTAAGATCGAGGTGCCAGTGTTGGTGGCTGTCAGGCAATGCACAAGAAGAAGCCTCAGCCCTGAGAATCAACCACGCTTTGACAACATGACCAACTCTGCAGCTACCTGAAGGGAAAGTGTGGGGAGCTGGAGGCTGGCCTCTGCTCACAGGTAACCAGTGACAGGACCAGAGGGAACGGCCTCAAGTTGTGCCAGGGGAGGTTCAGGTTGGCAATGAGGAGACATTTCTGCTCAGAAAGAGCAGTCAGGCACTGGGACGGGTTGCCTAGGGAGGTGGTGGAGTCACCGTCCCTGGGGGTGTTCAAGGAGAGCTTGGACGTGGTGCTTGGTTTAGTGGGTGACACTGGTGGCAGGGTGATGGTTGGACCAGGTGATCCTGGAGGTCCTTTCCAACCCTAATGGTTCTATGATTTCTGTGATTCCTGTTCTATGATTTCTGTGATTCCTATTCTATGATTTCTATGTGTGTGTGTGTTTGTCACTGTCCCAGTGATGGCTCGGTGCAGTGAGGGCAGGCTTGCCCTTTGGTGACATTTCCACCACATACCAGTGGCCCTCAGGGTGGGTGAGTGGCTGCTCTGCCTTGGTGGCCCTTCATTAAAATGGCATCAATCACTTTCCAACCAATGTTTATAGACACCTTGCCAGATTTTCTCACCAGTCAGGAGTCTTTAATTTCTCTCCACATGGAGCTCAGTCATTCAAGGGAGCATCTGTGTTCCTTGAAATGTTACTGTAGTGAGGGATCAACTGTTGTTGCTGCAAGTGCTCAGGTGTCTTTGGGCTTTGGAAGAGGTACTTTTAGAGAGAAAATGAGATGGCAAGAGATGGAGAATCACAAAATATCTTAACTGACCCTAATGAGAGCCCCCTATATGCCATATAAAAGCCATTAATGTTTGGTGTAAGGAACTTTGTGGATCTTGCAGTGGTGTATCAAAGCCAAGGTTTGGTTACAATCCCATTTAGTAAATCTCAGCCTTAGCAAAAAATAAAATAAAATAAAATAAAATAAAATAAAATAAAATAAAATAAAATAAAATAAAATAAAATAAAATAAAATAAAATAAAATAAAATAAAATGTGGCACCTTGAATGGCTTAACAAACTAGGCACACGTGAAAGGACAACACCAGCACTCAGTATCTCCTGGGGAGGAAAGTAATGGCCAAGAGCTCAGGGAAAGCAAGGACGAAGTTTTCTGCAAATGAAATGTCATGGGTTAGGGTGTAAGTAGTGTTAGGGTGTAAGTAACCTGAGGTAATCAGTGCACTGAGGGAAGAGAGCACAAAAAGGACCTCAGGCTTCACACAGTGGCTCACCAGGAGGAACAGTCCTTGTGAACACCTTCCAGAGAGGTTTCTGCAGTGTAACACCTCCAAGATGAACACAGAGGGCAACACACCGAATGGTTAGGTTAAACAAAGAGAACCAAAACAGCCTCACACCATCATTTTTCTACATTTTAGCTTGGGATCAGATTGGTACCTGTTACATACAGGCAGGTGTGAGCTGAGCAGGCTCCAAAAGGGACACAGACCTTTTCTTTCAGTTACTGCTCAGATCTCCCTCATACTCAGGGCAAGGTATGGCCAACAAAAGTGTCACACTGGTTTCTGTGACTCTTTTCCTACCCCCTGAAGATATTAAGTACGCCTTGTGACATGCTTTCTTAGCTAATTTGGCTGCAGGTGAGGGAAGCTCCAGTCCTAAATCATTCTTAGCTAGTTCTTGCTGTTTCCTAAGTCCACCTG